GTGTCCTGCAACTCTATTTTAAAATCAGACGATGATCTACTGTCAGAGACTCTGTATTGGGAATTCACATAGACTTTCTTATAAGTTAAGGGTCTGAAGCTCATATTAATGACAGACAAAATAATTATATATCATTTATTAATATAATGACGAGAATACAGTCACAGTTAGATACAATGCTAAAGTCCAACGGGAAAATATCTAACACACAAGGAATTAAGATGGCCTACGATCGTGACAATAAGGTTTATGTTAGAGACAACAAAATGTATATAGGAGGAACAACGAGTTTCACTAACTGGTTGGAAAATCTTACTAAATTACCCTTTGGTGTTTTGGGCGGAGTCCGTGATATGGAACGCTACATAGAAGCAGAACGAATATTAAAGGATAACCCACAAATAACAGAATTGGTCGGTCACAGTTAAGCGGGAGTGGTGGCGCTACAATTGGCGAAAGATTTTCCAGATAGGAACTTGAGCACCAAAACTTACAACAGTCCCGTTTTTTCATTAGGTTTTGATCAACCGTCTGAAGAACAACACAAGAGGTTCAGAAAAGTGGGCGATGTTGTATCGGCCTTTGATGGGTCAGCGATTAATTACAATACGGGTACTTTGAACCCATTAAAGAATCACGACATATCTTCACTAGACAATATAGATGAATGTATTCCAGAAAGGACTTTGTTTTAATCTCTACTATTATAATATGATGTTTATTAAACCTAAACATATAAAATAACCACATAGAGTTGGTAAGCCGTCGGAAAGTCTACGGTTCAAGAACAACTTCAACAAAAGGCTAAATAATTCTGCTTACGAGAGTATCCGTAATATAATAGAAGAATGCGACGGGGGAATTAATTTCCCCTCAATGCGAAGCAGTGTCAATGTAGTGTCACAACCCCAATTAGAGAAACAGAATAATGATCATTTTAAAAGCCACAAAAATATAATAATAAAAAATCTAAATAAAGTATATATAATTATGGATTTGGTATTAGCTGAGAGTCAAGACAATATGATCAATTCCCTCCAGTTTGGATTACCCGAATCTGCCGCTTACATCACTGATCGTAAGCAGGTTCATTTCCCCAGCGTATCCGGAAACATCTTCTCAAGCAGTAACGGAAATAAATATTTAAAATTTGTCATCACGGGGGAAGACAATAATTACATTGACATGTCTAGTGTTTGTTTATTCTTTGATGTTGTTAATGCTTCCACGACTGCAGGTCAGTATTTACGACCTTTAGGTGAAAGTCACGCCTTCTTCACCAGATACCGATGTAACGGGGCAGGGCAACAACTAAACGACATTGCCATAATAAGCAAAAATGCGAAGAAATGAAATCGTTCAAAAGCGAAGAGGTGAGAAATTTAGACGATATTCAGGAAGGTTGTTTAACACGCTATGACAGTAGAATTAACCGATTATTCGCGCAAGTGATAGAAGGTCACAGTGCAACGGCAACAGCAGGGGCAAACCAAAGAGGTGTCGTTCTACCAAAACTAACAAGAATTAACACTACTGGAATTGAACAGGGTAAGTTCGTA